TTTTTAATCTGCTCAATTTTACATACTGTTTAAATGGGTCTTAAATTTTTAATGACTCACTCTCTCCCTCTGACACGGCAACCATTATCCTGGTATTACTATTGTGTTGCTTGTATTGGGTGGTTGATGCCTGTTGCCGGTCCTATTTCACTGAATTTCCTTTCCTTGTGATGTTAAAAGCGGGAATTCGAGCAAAACTGAACTGATAATAGAGCAATCCTGTCGGCCATCTTCCACCCTCGGAGCATTAGGCAGTAGTTTTATGGCTATAGATACTGTGCAAGCAGGAAGAGCATTAAAGATGCAGAAGGGTTGAGCCTCGGTGGTCACTGATCAGTGCTACTTTATAGTGGAATTAAAATGAAAAATGGACCCCCTGCAAAGTGTGTTTGTATCAAGATAATGGTGCATATAATAATAATGCGGTTAAAGCAGTACATCTAGATAGATTCCTTTCTCACTCGAAAGTGCGCAAACAAACTTCCATCCTTTTTGCAGCAAAACCATGATGTATTTTAAATGTTAAAATTACTATAATTACATTCAAAATTTACACATGACCGTGTATGACTTCACATTATTTTACATGTGGCTGGCTTATCTCCCAAGGGGTTTTTAATGCAGGTGTTGTAGCTTCCCTGTAACACATTCATTTCACATCCCAGGTAAATGCTCTGTGATTAGACGGTTGGATTGGAAAACAGAAAGGCTCTGTATCATGAGGCACAAGACAAAGAACCGCTCGTCTAGTTGGACGGCTTTACCTGAGCCTGTGTCCCAACCATAAGCATAAAGAGAATTTGCCCCCCGGAGAAATAAGACACAAATTGATTAGGTACATTCAAGGGCCTTCATTTTAAAGATGATTCTGCGAATTTCATGCATGAGTTAGAAAGTTAAAAGACATCTGCTGCATGTAAGCAGACTGTTATGGAACGCTTGTATTAGCCTGGGACACCATTTTGTTGGGATTGCTGTTAGATTACCTTGAAAGTAAAGAATGTTCAGTATCTCTATATTCTTTACTTGTCTGATTTTTCTGTCTCGCTCAGCTGCCTGTTTATTTGGTGCACCTACAGCAGCTGACACTGATGCAGTCAAATGCAACAGTCCTGGAACAAATCCTCCTTCATGAAGGCTGTAATGTTCAGTGTTTGTTGAAACTGTTTCAGAGGGGTGTTGATTCAGCTATGGTTATTTTGTGAGTTTGTGTTGCTGTTAAACTGTTATGCTTTTGAAAGAGAGGTGTTTCTGTTATAAGCCCACCATCAGTGATATAACCTCCAAAATAACCTACGTTCATGGGGCATACATCTCTACTTGCCTTGCTGGTATTTTCAGTCAAATATCTACATGCTGCCTCAAACTAAATCTCACCTGAGGCATGCAGCGTTTTTAGGCATGCTAGCGGCATGGTTCTATGGATGGCAATGTCGATCGTACAGAGATTCATGTTTCCCAGGGAAAGAGTTACTGACCTTAATGACCCCCTGACTTTTTCTCTAGCTGTCAAATTGTGACTCATTTTGCAGGTATTTTGTTATAAACCAAAAGCATTGGACAAATGAACATTTTGACCTGTTGTCGGTGTTAGATAAAAAGTTAAAGAACATGAATGTCCTTACCGAATTTCATTGCAATCATGCACAATCGTGCACGTCTTTGAAAAGTGTCATGACAATCCATCAAATAGTTGTTAAGATATTTCAGTCTGAACCAAAGTGGTGGACCGACAGACCAACATTGCCATCCATACAGGCATGCTGCTAGCCTTGCTAAAAACTACAGCCTAGTATCTCCAGGGCTTGGTCCAGCCGATGTTCAGCACTCTACCACTGCTGGTACATTTTTTAAAATTGTCTGACAGTAGACAGTGAAGTGATGTCACTTTGTTGACTAAAAACCCTTCAAGACATACATCACATTAGCTTTTTGTGAGTTGCACTTTGTTCTCTCTTTTATCCTACTCTTCAGTTTACTCTTGCATTGAACCCATTCTGCTTCTTCATACATGTTGTATTTTCTTCCTTCCTTTTACACCTGTTATTTATACAGTCAGGTTTTCAAGGACTCACTGCTGGTTGCTTTTATGCAGGAACTGCATCATATTCTACTCACTGCTAGTTCCTCTGGCTGAGAGTGTTAGATGAATGTGAAAAACTGACCACTGTAAAACACACTTGGCTGTACTCTGGTTATGATACCTATACGCCGTAACATTACCTGTAATATCAAGATGAAATGTATACCTCGGGGGTACTCTGGTTTTTCATAAAGGAAACATTGGTGTCTAATGGGCCTTTTCTCTCTTTGGTCTTCAGTCTCATACCTTCTGGGCCATTTTGAGTTCATTTCTCCCACATACCTACTTATGTGGGCTGCTTTTCTCACAAAGATCGCCTCGACTAAATGGGAAGCATCTGACAATTGATGAAAGATTGTTTCCATTAATACACCAGAAAGCTTTAGCTACAGTATGCTCTGCACTTGCCTCAATATTTGGCTTTTTAGTGGAATGTCACTGAGCCAGGTGAGGCTGCAAGGACAAGGGGGTTGAGTGTACTGTCTGTTTGCTCACTTCACCCAAAGGCTAGAAAGACAGTGACATCTTTCACATTCTCTGCAGCATCAACAAACATCTCTTCCATCAAAGCAGAGGCTGACCCAGTGCCTGAGGCAAAGGTCTTTGGGGCCTGCAGATTTCTCCCCTTTCTTGACCTTACTGATCCTTCAAAGGAACTGCAACTGGTATGTAGAATTAAAGTGCAGAGTATCAGAGATGTAAGTTGAAAAATCAAGCATAATAAGATTCTCTTATCTCAGTACAGCTAGCCAGAGGGCTTATTCTTTCTATGATAATGATAATAGAAAACATGACTTTGTATGTGGATAATAAACTCATTTTAATTCACCATATTCAGAATTCATCATCATTATCCATCAGTTTGACCAGTTATTATTAACTGCCACTAGCACTTGAGATTAAATTACTATGCAGATGTTATCATGTTCTGTATATATGCCGGATTGTTGTTGCCATCTGTGCAGATGTCCTCTCCCTTCTGACTGGAGCTCTGCCCTGGTCTCGCCTTGGGCGTGTGGTGCGACCTCGCGCTCCCTGCATGGCAACATGGCAGTGATGCTGTGAAATGTCACTTTGCCATTGCTCACAGAGGCAGCGAGTTGCTGCAGGGCCTCATCCATGGTGGTGGGAAACAAATGAAACAAGAGTCACAGTTAAAGGTCAAACTACAAGGCTCATGAATACAGTCCAGAACAGCTATATATTCATTTTTAATGTGAGTGGAATATATTCATATATGGTGTTGCTGAATAGATGTTAAGTAAAATAATGCTAGTATGAAAATGAACATTTTGATTATACCACTGACAAATGTTGACTGGTTTTTGTGAAAATCAGAAAGACAGAAGTGCAAACCAAACTCTTTTGAAAAAGAGTGCATTCTCTCACCATGTCATTTCAGCAAAGAAAATATGTGAACTATATCAGTTCTAGCACAATGTATACAATGTATTAGAGCTGCCCCCCTTAAAAAGCAATCACTCCAGTAATCCTCTGGACTGTAAAGGACGATAGGTCAGGACAGATCATTCACAGAGATGGCATATACTTCCAGCTACAGCTTTTCCTTGTATTATAAGCTCATAGAGATATAAAACTCTGCACGACTGAGATAAAGTAACCTTGATAATTCTACTGCATCTTATAAATAGGCTATTTGGAAGTTGCTATTATAACTAGCCTGGTGAGAATGATTGAGTCAAAATATAATTAACCTCCCTGCTTTCTGAATTCACACTAATTTATTGGGGTTTAGCAGCCTCCCTTGTTTTCCGAGAATTACAATTCTGAACCTTTTATTTAAAAAAAAAAAAAAAAAAAAAAAAAAAAAAACTCCTAACCTACTGCCACCATTAAAAAGCCACTGAACTTATTTTGTATTGTACACCTGTAACATTTGCAGACAATCATACCCTCTGGAGCCACAAAGGGTTTTATACAACTTTTTATGTGCAAACAGACTTTGATGTGTGAAATCAATGTAGTTCCCCTTTACAGTCCAATAACTTCAGGTTGGACAGTTGATATTTTAATTAGTGTACAATGACTTGACAATGACTATTACAAAGGACTTACTTTACATTTCTTGTTTGTTGGTTGATCGGCCCAACACTTTGGTCTAGACTGAAATGTCTCAGCTTGACTTGCATACATTCGTGATCCCTGGAGGATGAATTGTTAACTTTGGTGATAGCTTAATATTTCCTCAGGTATTTATGACCAAATACCTGGAAATCTCAGAGCCTTAGCTGTACTTCATGCTAAATACTAAACCCCTACACTAAGATCTTGAACATGGTAAATTACCTGCTCCATCAGCTTCTTATTGTGATCATTGTGAGCATGTTAGCATACTAACAGGAGCATTTAGCTAACAGCACTGTTGTACCTAAGTACAGCCTCACAAACCTGCTAATGGCTGTAGACTCTTAGAATTGTGAAAAAAAGAGGGGGGGTTGTATGGTTATATGCTGTTAAATTCATTCTTGATCGTGATAATAATGATTTTGTCTTGAGTTGTAGCGAACAGGCTACGTTCTGCATCTGGTAGATTTATGTCTTTGTGTATTTTTTTTTCTCAGCCAAGTTTCTATTTGCTGTTACTTTTTCTGTGCGGTTGATTCGATTTGGAAATCTTTTTCTAGTGTAAAATTCTATCTTCCCCAAGATACAGAAGGAACTTTTTCAAAGAGAAATGTTCGTGTCGTCCTGAGACAAAATGTTCAGAGGTAGAAACTACACTGTGCTCTTTGCTCCAGTGAACTGAGATGCACTGAGAGAAATTCTGGCCAAGACTAAAGTAGAATGAATCAAAGATCTCCCATTTATACCCTTAACTTTTCTAAGCATAATTATTCAAGAGAAAGGCAAAATCAGTTAAATTAATAACTTATATATTAAAAATGTTCCACCACTCAGCAGAGCAAGTTTTTTTTATTTCATTATTACATGTACAACATAACAGTCACCCTCTTAACTCCCTCTGTGACTTTCCTTCCCAGTGTGGATTAATAGAACAGTATTAATTTCACAACACTTCAGTATTATGTGGTGAGTGATTATTCAGTTTTCAATATTAAAAGCACTTGTGGTTTCAGAAAATTAGTGTCATCTCAGCCCACGAGTATTTTGCCTGTCCAGATTTTCTTTTCAACTTGTCATATGAAGTGGAAGTTCATTCCCCAACATTTACAGTTTGCGTGCATTGTATTGTGCTTCATTTACTTAAACACTTAAAGAGAGAATAGAATTTTAAAACGGGAAACAACAGAATAGAGGTCAAGACCAGCACTGTTACCGCTGGTTCCTGCAAGGTGTTTCAAATTATTATTTTTTCCTTTAATCTCCACACACTTTTTTATGTCCTTGTGTTTCATTTGATAACCAGCCTGTTTGCATCCATGCCAACTTTTGTCTACTTGTTCAAGTAAAAGCATTAAAGTAAAATAGCTTTGCCCACTACAATGCCCCCTCCCCATGATGAAACACAGCCACAGAGAAAAATAACAAGGAGAGTTTTGTAAAGATGGACAAACAATTCCTTAAAGAATTCCACAGGGATAGTATTCATTCTTGTTTTCATCACATTGTCCTTTTATGCAGTGCAAAGATCTGACAAGAATTCACCAATAAATTAAGTTCATGTGTGGTATGGTTCACGTCCATCAGCACACGCGGGTCAGGTCGCTGGTAGACTGGTCCTACATGAGCACGCAGCTTTTGGCCCGGTCCTTTCTAATGGGAGGTGGGTGCTCATGGATCTCAGTCCGAGGCGGCTGCTGGGAGACACGCTTGAGGCCGCGACGTGAGCCAGCACGTTTGAGCTGAGGCCGATGGGCGCGGGACACAGACGCCAGCGTGGTGACATGGAAAACATCACGGACGCTGTTCTCCGAATACTTTGAGGTGCATTCTGCATAGGCAACGGCACCGATCTGCCTCGCCAAATTAGTGCCCTGAAAACACAGGAAAATACAGAACATGTGTTGGTTAAGAGGACGAATAAACAGTGAAGACTTAAAGCTGCATTAACTGATGTTTTTGGTCACTTAAGGGCAGCAGCACCCAGCAAACAGTTGTTATTTATACGTCCAGCAGACATGGTGTAACATTATTCATTATGGGTTTTGTTTCTAGCCGCCTGGCAAATTTAAGTCTGTTTTTTTCAGTCTCCTATTTCTTATGATTCTGGATAAAAGGGGAGGTAACCTGAAACTGATCTGAGTGGCGGAGACATACAACCATGAAGCAGTAATTTTAGTTCGGTCTTCGGTTTGGTGTTGTTGGTTATGTGCAGTTGGTTTGTCTGCACCTTTTCACTCAAAACAAATCCCTCCAGATGCTGAGAATGAGTTGCGGGAACTTCAGAGTCCGAAGATAATTCTCTAGGGGTTCTTCACCATGAGCGACTTCTCTCTAATTACATGTAGTTTTTGATCAGTTGTTACCGTAAAATATTGATTAGTGCAGCTTTAAAATTCAAGCATTTATCCAGCACTCGGCTTCAGTTTGTGTTTGTTTGTAGTCCAAAAGTGAGTGACTAAGCTTGAGAGCTGCTCAGAGCTAATACTTAAAGCTATGATTAAAAAATTTTGTGTGCATGTGTGAGAGAGACGGAGAGGGATCTTGTGGTGGAAATGATGCATTTTGCATTCTTAAATGTCCTTAAACCATGTTGAACCTCTGAAATACTTGAATCGTGTGGGAAGCCTGGTGTAATTCAATAGAAGCAAATGTAGCATTTACATAACATACTGTAACATTTTTTATTTGGTGAATTCTTTGTATTTTAAAAAGCCATTCAGTCCTGAGTGCATACATGCATACACAATTGAACTTGGAACATACTTTCAAAACATGCTATAAAAGATTATTATTATGACAGCTTGTTACGTGCTGTCACATTATCCTTACCTTACTTTTGTGGAAATCAGACCATTGTACTTGGTCTTGTACAGTAAAAATGCCCCACTTAATAGAAGCCTACACTCTCAGAAGCATGATTGGTAGCTGGGGCATACAGATAGCTAAGATCCCCCACACAGCTATGAAATATTGAAGTCCTATCTGTGTGACTATAAAACTCGAGCGTAAAAGCTCAGCTTATTCCCAGTGGTGGTTAGCACCATCTTAAATCTGGACTGGTTGAACTTGTATGTGGTGCATTCATTTTGCTTACCTGTCCAACAACACTGACTCTGTGTGCTTAGGTATATATTGTAATAAAAAAAAAGGGAAACGTAGATGTTACATTGATTTAACCAGTCCTTTCTTAGGTTTTTAATCTAGTCGAGTCAATTAAGTCAGTTAAGCTATTAATATAGCCCAATATCACGAATCACAAATTTGCCTCAACAATCTGTACACTATGTGACAGCATAGGTGCTCAGCTATCAGTGTTAGAGATATACCATACTGAAGAAGTATCGAGCTACCAGATTGGGCAATATTATTCCCTCTCTATGAAAAATAATAAAGGCTTTAGCTGTGCTAGCAGGGCGGCATTAATGGAAACTCTCCAACACATAAAGTGTCCATTTCAACAGCCTTAAGCAGATTACAGCTGTAGTCCCACAGATCATGTGAGATTTATTCGCAGATGAACTGTGTGGTTTGCTCTAGTGAATGCACGTCCCCTGGGGATCACATCAGTTGGTTGGCTTAAATGAAGAGATCCCAGTTTGTGGCCATTTGTAGCGCAGCCCTTTGAATGATTAAGAAAAGCTCTTTAGGTCACACCACACTTTTAAGCGCAACTCTTGCCATTTTTAGCCCAAATAATCCTTCATTTGCTTCATTTACCATTTTCCCACTTTGTGTGTCTTTCTCACAACATTTGTGACTTTTTAAGATGTTCAAAAGAAAATAGAAAAGTTGGAAAAATAGTTTCAAAGTTGAAAGTAGCTGCAGTTACATTTTAGGAAAAACATATAGATGTTTTGGTTTAATCGCAGGCTTTTGTGAATTTGGAGCTAAATCAATTCATGCAGAGAAAACTAATCTGAGATCTTGATGGACCAATTTTGATGCCATTACTGACAGGACAATGAAGGTCGTTACCTTTGCTTTGTCAGAGGTATGAGAAAATATTAATTTGTTGACAAAAGGCTGCCAAGAAGTGGGAATTCACATTTACATGAAAATAGGCTATTAAAATTCATGCATGCCACTGTTCATCGCTCCAAGACACAAACAAAACAATTGTATTATCGCACATCCTGCTGTTTGTCTCCTTCTTTGTTCAGTCCCAGCTCTTTTATACTCCTTGTGTTTCCATATTTGTGGAAGTTATGATCTGAAGCGAATGTCATTCTCCAAATTCATTTTCAGAGGTTTTGTTGATGTGCACAAGAGAACAAAGTAATAGGTGTCATTTGTTTGGGATGATACTATTTAATTTGTGCGTAAATCAGTGTTACTATAGGCAAATGAAAATCGCTGCGGTGGAAAATTATAAAGGACTGTACATTTAAAACCATATGTCATGCTAAATATATTAAATAAACATCATTCAGTTCTTCACACATGCAAAATTACTGTGGCATTGTTAGGTTGTAGAAACAGGAACAGCAGTTAATTTTAAGCTATGTTTGACACCGCAGATGGTCATAGATGAAATGGACACAAATACAAACACACTTAAAAATATGATTGTCATTTTCTCGGCACTCCTCACCTGTTCGTGGGTGACGGGAATGAGTCTGTGTTTGGAAAGCTCTCTCATTACATTGAGGTCCGTCCTCATGTCCAACTTGCAGCCGACCAGCACCACTTTGGCATTGGGACAGAATTCCTGTGTCTCACCTTGCCACTGTGTATTAAAAGATAAATGAATATCAATGTACAGAGCCCTTTATAAATTAAATAAGTATATGGAGAACAGTATTTTGACACCTGAACATTTAATTTGTTGCATCTCAATCTAAAATCATGGGCATTCATACGTTGCCGTAATAGAAGTTACTCACTTCCGAACCCTTTTTGTATGTTTTGCTGCCTTGATAACTTTGTTGTTAAATTCTGGATATAAGAAGTATAAGTCGCTGTGACTTTTTGTCTGTAACATTACACCCACACCGTCGCAGCTCCTTGTATTTAGATACTGAGCTTTGAACTTGCAGCCCATTACATCCTAAAATGATCATTTGCCAGAACAATGTTCAGACATCAAAACTGTCCTCAACAGACCGCAGTAGAGCAGACGACAAACAAATACTGTAACAGAACGACAATATAGCTGTTTTGTTTGCTACAGCATGAGCTCACTACAGCGTGATGCTAATGGTCAGTAACGCTGGGAGAAGACAGACATAAAGAGACAGACGATACGCATTACAGACCACAAACATGACTCAGAACTATCTAACTCTTTCTCTTCCTCTCTATCGCTGTCGTTCTCTCTGAGACTCCTTTCATTATCTCCTCACACCATGGCACAGGCAACCACTTTGAGCACTGTTGCTGCATTTGTTCTCCCTTACAAAGGGATCTTTTCTCCCGTATGCCTGTGTCAGAGCTGTTACGGGCTCCAGCGTGTTGTGCAGAGCGAGCACTTGCTTTTCAGTGTGCCTCTCCGCCAAACAGTGTGCAACTGGTGAATAGCAGCAATTTAGATGAGTCACAAAGGACCCATGGGAAGAGCGGTTTATTGTTCGTTAATGTTAAGAACTGGTGATAGTTTTGTCCCTGATAAAATGCAGAATGCGAGCTGTTGGTGCAGAGAGTTTGGTTTATCAAAGGATAAAAAATGGAAGCTGACAATTCTGATTAAGAATATATATGACACCAAGGTAACTGCACTGGACACAATATTTCCTATTTAGGAGGTTTAATGACCTGAGGAGATGTTAACTATATGATTAACAGTGAATTCTAATAACTTTTGTGATCCCCTGACTTTTCCTGTAATGCTACCTTCAAGTTGCCATTTTATGTTTTTAGGGAAATGTCATGACAACGGTACAACTGTAGATTTCCATGAAATCTGTGTTGGACATTCATGTCCGTCTCACTAACGATTGTAATAATTGGTGATCTTCTGACTTTTCATCTGGCCCCATCATTGTCTAATACTTTGGTTTGTGCCCAAGTATCTGTAAAGTTACAGCTACCGCCTCAGCCGTACTTTGTGTAAGTGCCAAAGAGCAAATATTGTCATGATAACACATTAAACTAAGATGGTGAACATGGTAAACACTGAACCTGCGAAACATCAGCATGTTAGATGCTACACTCTTAGCCTTGTTTACACTAAATGTAACTGTTTTAAATACTATACTAGACATGGCAGTATGGAGGGGGCTTTCAAACAGCATTACACCATAATGTTGAGAGAGAGAAAATGTGGAAGTTAAATGAATAAACAAAGTGTTTTTTTGTTGTTGTTTTTTTTTAATTCACAGAAAACAATAAATTCAAAAAACTCTTAAATGGATTAATTGTGCTTGGAAAGAACTTAGTTGTTTCTAAAATCATGGCTACATCCCAGAGTGTCATCAGTGAATCAGAGCAGTGACACTGGGATGCTGATACTCAAACAGCAGCTGTAAAACCTGTGATTACAATTACATACCCTTACATTATCAGGGAGAGCTGTTTGTGTTGTGTGTCTGTCTTCTTCTTTTTTGTTTTTAACAGCTTCTGGCCTTCATAATAAAAGATGTGGTGTGTTGAGGATGCTGTTTGCTTCAGTCTGGCAGTTTGAATGCAGAAATGGCCTCAGCATATCTTTCACAAAACATTTGATAATCCAATCCAAACTGGCAGGAGAATAGAAACATAGAAAAATGATGGAGATCCAGCAATGTTGGCAGGCAACTAGTCAGAAAGTCAAGAAAAAAGGAAAAGGTGAGGAACTGTTGCCAGCTGTGAAGCAAGGGTTGAAGCATTTAAAAAAAAAAAAAAAAAAAAAAATGAAAAAAAAGGATGAAAGCAGGGTAGAGATCAGGATAACATCTTAGGTTAGGTAATGCTATATGATAGAGATATACAGACAGCCTAAGGTGTGATTTGAATGAGCATTTGAAGAGAGATTGGACTGAAGAGAACAACACATACAAAAAGGAAAAAGGAAATGGTAAGGATTTGAGGGGTATTTTTGTAATTTAGCTGAAAAAAGCAAAGGTCCTCTAAAAAGGAAAAGTGGAGGGTGCAAAAATTGGTTAGGCACAAGGCTATCAGGTAAAAGTGCTATGTACTGCAATGGGTGTTATTTGAGAATGGGAAGCTTGCAGATGGAAATTAAGCTAAAAAACACACAAAAGTAGTAACAAGACATGAGGGCACATTACCATACTTAGGTACTTAAATTAGATGCCTCAGAACTTACTTGAGGATAAGTTCTTTCGTTCTGCTTCTAAGCTGTGACAAGAGTGACCCCTCAACTCACTTTGGCATCCTGCGCATGCATTGTGAGATGAGTTTATTCACCGCTACTACTAAGGTTAAAGTTCAAGTTAGTTCTCAAGTGGACCCCCTCTAGTTGTGAGAATTTGCCCACCATGAAGGATAAATGTTTTGTTTTGTATTGATGATGTCCTTGGTGAGTGATGGCGCTGGCTGCAGGAATGTCTGTGGCCTGAGAAACACTCCTTGATGTTCACCTCTCACACATGTTCATTAGCAGTGAAAACGATTGATCAGTATCTAAAAATGATACTAGTTCACAAAATTTCTTCACAAAAGCTTGTTTTTGTTCCAAGCAGATTAAATTACCCAACACTTACAATATATGAAAATTACAGCTTGAAAGGATAAATTCAGAATTTGACAAGTTATTGTTAATAGAATACCCCCACGCCACATGTAGCTTGAGAAAATTATTTCCAATTGCAATCATTCCTCCTGTCAATTACTGGTCATATAGCGATTCCTTCATTGCTTAAGTACATTATAGGAAATGGAGGCCAAAATCTATAGTGCTCGTCTGTCTTAAATGGAAAGCTAATTTGAGTTTTCAGTGGTCAGAGTTGGCCAAACTGAGTGAACATTTTCCAAAGTTACTGTCTTTTTGGTACAGATAGTTTTTACTGCAACTTCCATTGGCTTCACGGAGTTTAATATAGCGAGTTTCAACTCTGTTTCAATTCTGTTGAAATTCATCCAACTTGTTTAACTTTATCGTTTCGGTTCACTCTCACCACTCTTGTAGTGTAGTTTTCAGAGTAGCGGTAGTTTTTGAGACACAGTGAGCGACTAGCTGGTGAACATAGTGGAGCATTTAGCAGGTGTTTCCATCAGGAGTTGGTAGAGTCCAAAAACAGAGCAAAAAGATTAAACATTGGACCTACATTCATCAGGTTGTCAGAAACACAATTCCAAATGAATGATGATGTTCCTTTGTAACTGCTGGATGTGTAAATGAGCAAATGTTTGCTAATAAGCTCACATTAGCATCTTAAACTCTGATGATATGTTGTTCATGTGGCCTTAAAAATAGTAATTTCAGGTTTATGAAGGCAGTTCTTCACAGAATGAGGACTGGATTTTGTCCCTGTTTCTTACTGTGCAGTTGTACTACAAAGGAATCATTTCACAGCCAGAATAAAGAGGAGAAATGATTACACTGACGCATATCTCTTTCATTGTATCTGGCATGTAAGTATTGTATTACGATAGGCTTGAAAATATCAGAACCCATCATTTAAGGCTGCTCAGTTGTCTGTTCTAATAAAACACAAAATGTACCTTTTAAAAATAGTCTCTGCTATGTTAGGAAAAAAATTAGAGGACACATTCACACTTCTGTTAATGTGATACTGACCTTTTTCAGAACGCTGTCCAGTGTCTCCGGACGGCTGATGTCAAAGCAGATGAGTACAGCGTCTGAGTCAGGATAAGCTAACGGCCGCACATTGTCATAGTAGGCTGAACCTGCGGGCGAAAAATACACACAGACATGATCATTTCCAGGTGGATTATATGTTATTTAGTTACTTTGCTGAAGAGTTAACTTTTTTATCACAAAGTGAGTCATTACAGAGCAGCTTTGGCAGTAATAACTGTGATTAAATGTAATTACCATGAACTAAGCCACTCTTCAGATGACAATGAGTGGGTGTGATTCATTGCTTTTCGAAACGAACAGAGGGGCCTCGTCCACAACCCCTGGTCTGTTTGTCTGATAGTCTTGAATAAGCCAACAGACAGACATGTGACAGTGATATAATGAATGGCTCTCACAAAGCGTCACCTGGTATTTCAGAATGGCATGTGTTTTTGCTGGGGGCCCGGGCTGAATTGAGCATTGTGACCTGGGCAAGGGGACACATTCCTACCCGGGGGGGGAGGGCAGCATTCCCTCTCCATTTCCCTCATTGTCTCCAACACTACGTGCTTTTGTCACCGTGCACAGGGCTTTGGCAACTTAACAAAAAAACAAAAGGTCCGATAGAAAATTCCCATAGAACTCACACATATAGCACAAACACAAAAACACAGTTCATTATGTCTCACACATAGTTAAATTAATCCAACCTTTTAATATATTAAAAAAAAAAATGTCCCAATAAATATTCCTTGTTGAAAGTTATCTAATCAAATGTGACTAACTCGTATAAGTTCATGCTTAACCGTTAACTTAGTCTTGTAGTCCAGTTGTGCATACTTGTGAACAAATGTATTCATTTCATTTATGGGGAAGGTGGGAGGAGGCGGCCAGATCTACTGCTCCAAATCACCGTGGTTTTCCAGACACTTAAATCTCCCTGTAGCGCACTCATTTTTTACTGATTAAATTAAATCCTTGAACAATTTAGCATTAATCAAATGCTTCTCAAACTTATACTGCATCTGGATATTCCATTTCACTCTGAAATGTGTCAGGAGTTTCACACTTCAGATGTTAAAAGACGATCCAACTGTGATTTCACTGTGACTTTAAAACTGTTTATTTTACATTTACATTTATTTTACCCTATTTTTGTAGTTTTGACCATCTTTTATCTGTTCTGAGTATTTACTTGCTATCTAGTTTATCTGTCAAGATGATTTGGAAATTAAAATAAGACAAATGCACCAAAATGCGGAGCACAATTGTCAATTACAATGTAAAATACAGTTTACGTTATATAGTTTGGGGAATAAGTCTTAATTAATTCATACTGTATGCTTTTATTTCCCAGTTAGTGATTTACATGATGATAACATGGTAAAAATGGGATTTGTTCACAACCTGTCTCCCAATTTCAGCAGTTAAATTAGGGAGTAAAATGTAATCATAACCAATAATATGGATGGGCAAAACTATGCATGGAAAAAAAGCCAAATCATTTCAAAATTTGATTATACAGCATCAACACGGCTGGAGGGTAGTTTACATTTACTGGATGTGTGCAAGACACAGGCCAAAAGAAGCAGCAACATTTACCCTCATTTGTGTTGTGCTGTCAAAATCTGGCCCCAAAGCAAAACATGTGTTTGTGTACATGTGTTGCTGCAACCATTTTTCCTTTCCCCTGTCTCTCTTGATTAATTCCTGCGCCTGGGTTGCACACATACACATATCCACACACGCGCGCACATACACACTTTCATTTTTGTGTTTTTAGCATTTTGTAGCTGAAGATTAAGTCTTAACATTTGCTGAAAATGAGGATGATTGATTCAATATCAGGCGAAGGCAGCAGGGGAGAGTGGAAGTGTAGCCAACAGTCTCCATAAACCACCCGTAGGTCTCCACAGCTTCCACACACACCCACTGACAGCAGTGAAGCGGCTCTAACAGTTGTGGCTCAGCTTCACACCGTCAGTTCCACCTCTGCATCAGACAGCAGCTGTGATCAACAGTAGTGTTAAGAAGTTTGAGTCTTTGTCTTTGTAACAATACACTGGAATTGCTCTTCTACAAGACATTTTCAGACATTTCTTTTTGAATGTAACTGACAGTGTTTTTCTTTTAAGCTGTTGCCAGACATATGGGTCGAACCGAAAAAAAAATAGTGTGAAAACAACAAGTTCATGGTCTTAGTCTCAGCCCACCTGAAGCCATGCAAACTGTATTTATGAAATACTGTTGGTCAAATGTGGGCAGTAGGATGGGACGCTGTAAAACAAGTCATTTGCAGAGCTGCTCAGTAAGCACTTTTGCAAGTACTCCAGGCCTATATAGGTTACAGCTACGCAGAGTAATGTCTTTTGGTCGCTTGCTATCATTAGAACTCAGACCAACTATTGGAAAATACTTTAACAAATGATGTATTTGCCCACACACCTAAAGCTATTACATGTTCAGATACAACCAACATAAGACACAGTTGTTTTCAGTCTTTATATTTAGAGATTATATCTGCCCTTGAATGCATTAAATAGATGTCTGGCATTTACACTGAAACATGTATTAAATTAAATCAATAACACATTATTTTCATCATGAATTCATTGTTATGTTGGAGAGAAATTTTTTTTTTTTTTACTCTCTTCATGTAATTGAGCATGGAACTTCATTCTCGACCATTGAAACAATAGTTTCACAATAACTTCTTAACTCAATGTCCACTTAATTAGTTTTTCCATTGCTTTCAACCAGATCTCATGGTCTTCCTCAGCAGATAGAATTTACACAGTTTCTACAGAGACGGATTGAAGTTCCATACTTCAGGCACATGATAACAACTGTGTGTATGTGTGTGTGTATGTGTATGTATATATATATCTATATATATATAGATATATATATATGATATTTTTATAGGCTACGTATTTTGTTGTGTGGAAGTCTGAACAACAACTTAAGCTAGTATAAAGTATGAGTCAACTTGACTTTACCTCAGTTCACCACCACCCCTCAGTGTGTATAAAACATCAGATCAAAACAATTAAGTCCCTCCCAACCTTCCCAAGGCAACGAGAAGTAAAAAAAAAACATGGCAGAATGCAGAATAGTAACATAATGGCACTCCATTATGCTTTAATGTAATTTTAAAAAGCTACTTCCTAGTACTTCTTCTACATTTTTTCAAGCAGAAATAATGTAAGTGGAAATCTATTCTCTATTATAAATGTTACAGCAAGTAACAATTGTAGACAACAACATGGCTGGTAAATTGACTCTCAAATAAGCTGATTTACAAGAACTGTCCAGGGTGCTGATTCCACTCTGCAACCGTCACTGCGCCAAGGGAACACAAGCTCCCATGTTGCAGGTAACCAGGGATCAGTGTGTGCTATCTAACCGAGCTGTGTGGGATTCTGTATTCAGATTGCTTTGTTTTAGTTGCACTGCCCTTTAAAAAACAAAACAAAACGTGATCCATTTATTCAGTAACTTGTCTATCAAGTGAAGGTGATTGCTTCTCTCTGCGGGATTCAGTTAGTTGGTAATTCTTCAGTAATGTAGTTGTTTATTGCTCTGCCAAGTCCTCCTCTGTTCAGTCTACCTACCTACCCCTGCCAGAATAAACAAGCACCAAGACCCTCCTGGGATTAAAGTCCCTTTGCTCTTGAATCCTCCTCGTCGTCTCAGTGGTTCCAAAAACAGATACCTGCCAAAGCCGGCTTTGAATAAAACTCATTAAACTAAGCTGTCAAAAGGCTTTTGGGTTGTGTCATCAACCATCCTGACAACATGCAAGAGGTTGTTTAGATGTTAGAAATGTTTCTTAAAAGAGTAGTTACATACACATAGTACATTTTGTGAAATAGGCTTGCTTGCTTTCTTTATGTTCGTTAAAAGATTGATACCACTGTGGTTAAAGCAGCATATAATCAGTTTTTCATATTAATAATAGATCACATGTCTAGTTGTATGTGAAAGAGGTTGCTCATTGTGATGACCCCACAGAGAATGATCACCAGACTCCGCTCTACAGTACTTTACAGCTTATTTTAGCGCTTTGGTTTTCTGGCAAACTCTCTTTACTGTTTTGGTTCACGGTCGCCGCTCTCATTTGTGTTTTTGGCTGCAGGACGAGGCTGTTTACACTGACAAATCTCTAAAAAAAAAAAAACACTGTTTACTACCTGCCCAGCACCAAACTGCACACAAACAAAGTAAGCGACTAGCTGGTGAACATAATGGAACATGTAGCAGCTGAGGTTTGATGTAGACCAAAACTAAAAGGACACTGAATATTAGGCTTACATTCATCAGGTAGCCAGAAACACAACTTAAGTTACTCTGTATCTTCATCATGTGTGAATAGGCAACTGTTTGCTAACAAGTTTGCAACTTAATCTGATGACTATAAGGTGATAATATGTCAGTCTTGCGTTTACAGCTTGTTTCTGCTGCCCGCAAGTGGCCAAGAAGTCAGTTATTGCAGGTTAAAAAATTCAAAATCTGATTACCAGTCTCTTTAAGCTGACTAACATGCTGCACCTTGTTTTTTCAATACACACGAGTAAACAATACAATTTACAGGTAAAAGGGAGGGACCGACCAACAGACCCAAGGCTCCATGACTCAGTTCATCGCCTGAGACATCTTGCAACATGAGCATGAGAAAATCATTCAGGCGGAGAGCATTTCAAAACCTACACTCTGTCTGCTTCACATCAGTACATTTGTTTTAGAGCTCTGTCAATGGAATTATGCAGAAAATGACTCAGGTCACAACAGTGACACATGTTAGTGTTGCGTTTGACAGAAGAAGCCTTGTTTGCACATGAAGGATATTTAGGATTATAGCAGATTAAAGTGCATTAGCATCTCTTGGTCCAGACCGTGGTTATCTCTGGCTTCGACTACTGCAATATCATTCTGGTGGACTCACACTGAAACCCTCGCAGATGGTCCAGAACGCAGCAGCCTGTCTGGTCTTCGATCAGCCTAAAAGGGCACTTGTCATTCCGCTACTCATCGACCTGCACTGGCTACCCATGGCCGCCCAAATCAAATTCAAGTCACTAATGCTTGCCCTCAGAGTGACTTCTGG